ATTTTCTGCGAGAGGAACTTCTAGCCATCTGTAAGACGATCTTGTGGTCTTCTATGGTCTTATTTGTTTCTGTGAAGCCCTCAGTATTTTGAGGTGCAATTTTTTCTGGTCATCTGTGAAAACAGTTTTTGGTGCAATCTGAGATAACTTTGTTCAAACAAGGAAACGATTTTTAGTTTCACTGAACATCCCTTATGATCTACTATGATTCTACCTTATGAGGAACTTCTGGTCATCTGTGAGACGACCTCGTGATCTTCTATTAAAAATATTGTCTTCTAATATAATCTTTTCTGATCTTCACCTCACTAAGAAAGAGGCATCGTTTTGTTTTCTATAAGAATACCTTCTTCCCTGACATAAGACGATAATCTGGATTCTATAAGTAGACTAGATGATTCTTCATGAGAATACCTTCTGGCGGCCTTTTGATTTTCTTTGAAAGGACCTTCTTAATATCAGTGAACATCTGATGGTCTTTACCTTACTGAGAGATGGAACCACATAGCTGTAGTCAGCACACTAACATATTATAGAAGACTAGAAGTACTTTGTATAGAGAACAAAACACCTTCATATAGAAGTACATAACAAAAACCAGAAGTTTTTCAAAGCAGGTCAGAATGTCTCATAGCGACAATACGGTTTCCTTATAGACGACGTGTTAGTGTGCTCACTACTGCTGCTATGAAAAACTTCTAGTTTTCTATAAGCATGTGTTTTGGACTTCTATATGAAGGCATTTTGTTCTCTATTCAAACTAGTTTTCCATAATATGTTAATGTGCTGACCGCAGATATGTGAAAAGGTTTTGATATATGGTAGGATGAACTTTGGTTTTACTTCGAGAAGACTTTCTGTTAGTATTCTCTCCATGTGATTCTCGATAAGAAAAACTTAAAGCCCTTTTTCTGTTTCCAGTCGATATACAGACTCCCTTCAGCTCGTTGATATAGCCTTCCATTCGTGCATAAATAGAATCGAATAATCCTTGCCCTCAATTTGTTTATAAAGACTTCTTGCTTCAGCTTGTCTAGAAAGTCTGCCTACATTCATTCAGCTCATTTTTACAGACTCCTTACCTTCAGGTCACCTATAATGATCCCATTCAGCTCGTCTAAAAGACATCCTTCAGCACGCCCAAAAAGACTCTCTGCCTTCAACTCGTCTACAAAAACTCCCTGCCTGCACCTCTTCTATAAAGACTTCATTCAGCTCATCTCTAAAGACTTCATTCAGCTTATCTATAAAGACTCCATTCAGCTCGTCTATAAAAACTCCCTTAGCTCGTCTATAAAGACTCCCTTAGCTCGTCTATAAAGACTCCCTACAGTTCGTGTATAGAGTCTTCCTTCAGCTCGTCTGTAGAGGCTGTCTTCAGCTCGTATATAAAGACTCCCTTCAGTCTGATTATAAAACTTCATTCAGCTCGTATATAAAGACTACCCTCAGTTCATCTAAAGAGACTATCGCCAGCTCGTATATATAGACTGCTTTCAGCAAGTATATAAAGACTCCCTCCAGCTACTCTATAAACCCTCCCTTCATCTCGTCTATAGAAACTTCCTTCATATCCTGAACAGATACTCCATTCAGATCGTCTATATAAAGCCTCATTTAACGTTATTTATCACCCCAACTTTGTGTTACCCCTTTCAACGAATTACCAACACCCTAAATAAAAATCTGAAAATGTTGTGGGTGCATATGATTATGTTACGAGTATTACGACAGCTGCAGTCGTAACACAAAAATTCTCTACGGAGGCAGAAAGATATGCCATCTTAAAAAACGCTATCCAGATAGCTTTACATATTCGTTTGGGAACAAAAAATAAACAGCTATGCAAAGAAGAAAAGAACAAAACATCTTCAGAGACAAAAACAAAGGAAGAAAATGCAAAGTATTTTGGGAAAATTGTATAGAAATCATAGATATGATGGGGTTGCACTAAAACAACAACGATATATTTTTTATTGTCAGAGGCGAACCACCAAATTTTCTGTCATCTCTTTGGAGTTGTATTTCCTTCTGTTTTTCTTTTAATTTTTTATATCCCTTTACTGGTTCCTGCAAGGTTGATTATTCAGAAGTTTTGTTTAGAACCCCCAAAAATAGGAAGAAGCTAATCCGTTAGTCATGCAGGATTATAATAAATTATAGGTTGGAAAAATATTGTATTCTCGTGTATTTAGTAAAGAATAAGATTGACGGAGCTCGATTGGCAGCATCTTGGAGTTATGCATAGAAAATCATTTAATTATGAATACTGAATTATCTGCGTTGTTCGAAGCTTATTCCACTAGTTCTTTTTCTAGAAATTGTTGCATGCTATATAAAAGCGTAAATGTAGGGGGATATATGAGTCGGTTCCTTTGCTTAGCAATTTTATGCTGTGGTGTCTTCCTCTTTTACCACCTCTACCTTTGTTTACCAGTTACTGTCAAAACCAGTACATTTTGTTAGCAAACTGTCACATAAAGTATTACCCAAAAAGTGAGCTGTTGCACACTTTGTTGTTTTTTTATTCCAAAAAACTGCTAACAAAAGCGCATTTCATTTTCTGTCAGCCTTTTTCTCGTTGACTGGCAATGCCGTTGCCTGTTTTTTGTTTTTTGCTTCTCCTCTATTCGACGCAATTTTTGCATTTATTCGAAGTTATTTGTTACTGCCACATTTGTTGCTTCGCGTATGTGGTGGGTGCAGGGCAAAATTTATACATTTTAGTAGTATGTATGTTTTTTTTTTTTTTTTTTGAAAACAGCTTAGAAACAATTTAAATATTTTATGGTACTTTTTGTATAGTTTGGCGACAGTAATGATATACTTATAGATGACGATAGTAAAATTAGATAGCTGAATGGCAGTATGTGACTGTTATCATATGGAAAAAATGCAATATTTTTTATTGTGCAGTTTAGAATGAGGGGAGTTTCGGTTCAAAATAAATCATTCATACTACGATTATAGTAGCGTTAAAAAGGAAATAAACAGTAACAAAGTATTTTTGAAATATCAATAATAAAGACTTATGCTAGGATATTATAAACTATCTGAAGTAATTATTTTTTAAGACTCCCTTCAGTTCGTCTATAGAGGCTTCCTTCTGGTATAGAGACTATCTACCGAGACTAATTTTTGCAGTCTATAAGAACTCTCTTCAGCCCGTCTACTAATACTTCCTTAAAACCATATTTAAATACTTAATTCAGTCCGTCTATAAATATTTAATGAAGCTCGTCTATAACGACTGTCTTCTACATGGTCTATTAAGACTCCATTTAGCTCTTGTATAAAGACTCTCTTAAGCTTGCATCTTCTGCAAAAACTCCCTTCAGTTCATCTATAAATACTAACTTCAGTTCGTCTACAAAAAGTCATTCTTAGCTTCAGCTCGCCTAAAACGATTTCCAGTGTCTCATTTCGCCTATGGCCTTCAGCTCGTCTATAAAGCTTCCCTTTGCTCATCTATAATAATCCCTCCAACTCATATATAAAGACTCCCTTCAGCTCGCCCAAAAACTCCCATCACATCGTCTACAAAGATTTCCTTCAGCTCATCTATAAAGACTGCCTTCAGCTCATATATAAAGACTACCTTCACCTCGTCTATAAATATTCCCATTAGATACTGTACACAGACTCCCTTCAGCTCTTCTATAAAGACTACCTTCAGCTCGTCTAGGGAGACTCTTTTCAATTAGTCTATAAAGACTCCATTCAGCTCGTCTATGAAAGACTCCCCTCAGCTCGACTATAAAGACTCCCTTTAGCTCATCTATGAAAGACTTCCTTCAGCTCGTCTATGAAAGACTCCCCTTAGCTCGTCTATAAAAGACTCCCTTTAACTCGTCTATAAAAATACTGCCTTCAGCTCGTCTATAAAAGACTCCCCTTAGTTCGTCTATAAAAACACTCCCTTCAGCTCGTCTATAAAAGACTCCCTTCTGCTCGTTTATGAAAGACTCCCTTCATTGCATCTATGAAAGACTCCCTTCAGCTCGTCTATGAAAGACTCCCTTCATTGCATCTATGAAAGACTCCCTTCAGTGCGTTTATGAAAGGCTCCCTTCAGTGCGTCTATGAAAGACTTCCTTCAGTTCGTCTATGAAAACCTCCCTTCAGTTCATCTATGAAAAACTCCCTTTTGCTCGTCTATAAAGACTCCCTTTAGCTCGTCTATAAAGACTCCCTTTAGCTCGTCTATAAAACTCCCTTCAGCTCGCCTATAAAGGACTCCCTTCAGCTCGTCTATGGAGACTCCCTTCAGCTCGTCTATGGAGACTCCCTTCAGCTCGTCTATGGAGACTCCCTTCAGCTCGCCTATAAAGACTGCCTTCAGCTCGTCTATGGAGACTCTCTTTAGCTCGTCTATAGAGGCACCCTTCAGCTCGTCTATAGAGACACCCTTCAGCTCGCCTATAGAGACACCCTTCAGCTTGTCTATAGAGACTCCCCTTCAGCTCGTCTATAAAGACTCCTTTCAGCTCGCCCATAAGGACTTCATTCCCCTCGTCTATAAAAAAAAGACTCCTTTATGCTCATATATAAAGACTCCCCTCTAATATTCTCTAAAGACTCAGCTCGTCTATAAAGACTCGCTTAAGCTCGTCTATAAAGATTCCCTTTAGCTCGTCTATAGAGACTCCCTTCAGCTCGTCTATAAAGACTACCTCCAGTTCGCCCATAAGGACTTCATTCCCCTCGTCTATAAAAAAGACTCCTTTCAGCTCATATATAAAGACTTCTTCTAATATTCTCTAAAGACTCAGCTCGAATATAAAATTCGAATTTCCTTTGTTTCAAATCAAACACATTGAACACAATTGATGTCAAGTATCCTTTGAAATTATCCCTTTAAAGTTGAATACCCTTTCCTTTTGATATCCTTTGATTTCAGATTTTCAAATGGGCATAGTACTTTGTCACTTTTTAGCTATTGTCTTTGACAGAGCAAAAAAAATCCCCTTACCAAAATTTAATACTGACAAAAAACTTACCGACAATCCAGCTTCAGGGCAAAATCCTTTTGTCCAGCTACCGAAATCATTTGATCCATGATTCCGCATGGCATACCGACGAACTTATGTTCAGCAGCTTGGCAAATTAGTGCTCGTTTGGCATTGCTGTGACGTGTCGTTACCCCAAAAATAAAAACAAAAACAATAAAAATTTTATATGTAGGGGGAAATTATTTAATAGCTGAAAATATATTTTTTTTTGAAATTTATTTTTTGGTAAAAAAGAAATTAGAGATATTTAAAAAAATTAAATTCTTAGATAAATTTGATTTTAGAAAATATTTACTTAAGAAGGCTTTTCAGTACATTTCCATATGAAGATCCAATTTCCGTGTCAATTTGTATTAAAATTTTCCAAAATTTTGTTCTTAACCCCACCCTATTATCTGGGAATTAATTTCACTTTACACCAAAGCGATAAACATTTACTGCTATTTAAACTGATGTTGTTAATTTGAGTGTTCATTTTTTGCTTCTTTTCCGAAAAACATTTTCCCCCTTTAGCTGTTCTGTGCTGTGCTCGCCGTGATTGAAACACAAACAACCCAACAAAAAAAAAACTTTAAAACGTAAAAATTTTACCTTTCAACTGCATGGCCCGTAAAATGTTCGAGGAATGTCAATGTGGCCACTTCAATGGCAGCACTCGACGATAAACCTGCCCCAACAGGCACATTACTCACAATGACCGCATTGAAACCATTTGCAAGTTGCTGTACGCCAACGCTTGCAATAAAACTGTGGATTACACCTTTAACGTAGTTAGCCCATCTGGAAAATTAACAACATGAAAATATCGTCATTACAAGTAGCGGTGAAATAAGTTAAACATAATCAAAATTATATAATATAATATAAATAAATAAAAAAGTTCGTTAAGTTATTATTTTTCAAGTCTATGGAAATTAAGGTAAATAACTGCAAATTTAAAGCAAATTCAATAGGGAATGAAGAACAAATTGAGGGGTTGACATTGAAATATTGTACAAGGAACACTTATAAGTTACTCATGGTAAATTTTAAGAGCATGAATAATATTGAAATATATGTATATAATAAGTGTCAAAATCGTTCAATACAAAAATATAAAACTTTCTTTTTAATATTTTTTAACAATTAAAATAAAGTAGTTATATTTTATTACAGAAAACCTTTTGGTTATCAATGAAAATTATAAACCTATACCAAGTCACTTGCCCTAAAATCATGGAATAGCAATGTATTCATCTAAAAGCTCCACAATTCAGCCCATTTAATGTATGCGGAAGGTCTTCGTTTTTGGAAATGCTTACAAAAATACTAAATATTGGACCACGGAGGAAAAATAGGTATGTGTGGTAAGTACAAAATTATTTAAAACCAATTCATTAACATTTATGTTAATAGTGCTAAATATGTTGTCATTAAATATATAGCGACCAGAAAGTAGATAATCTCTAAACGTTTAATCTATATCCTACAGAAATGTTGTAAATTTGTAAAGAAAAATTTGTGAGAAAAAAGTTATATTCCTTGAATTTTTTATGGAAAAAATGAGAAACCATAGTTCCATTCATATTTTTCTATGGGAAAAAGTGGGACTCTGCAGTTTAATGATTTTGTCTACAAAGGAAACTGCGTTTTCATTATTTTTTTGCCATTGTGAACAAGTTGGACCCAAATGTGCGATGAATGTTTTCCAAACTTTCTAAAGAAAAAAATAATACCTGAGGTTCCGTGATTTATATGTGTAATGTTTTTAATAAAAACATGTAGGGGTTCTGTGAATTATGGGAAAATATTTGTAGGGGTCTATCATTATTATAACAGGATATTATGTCACTTGGTACCTTTTGAGAATATGCATAGGATCATTTCTTAAACTAAATTGTAAACAAAATACTGGTTGCATTTATTGGAAGAGATTTGACAAAAAATACGGTTCAGATTTACATATAGCTCGCATATATAATTTCGTACGATTTTAAGTAATTGGTGCACCAAATACCCAAAGTTAGCCCGATAGGGATAACGTTTTGCGCATCGTACTGAAGTTAGTATAAACTAAGCTCTGGCAAACTTCGTTGAAATCGGTTCAAATTTAGAAATAACTTCCATATATTAAATTGGGGAAAAAGAAATCCAATATTTTTATATATAGGGCTTTATTTAACATGCTTTGGAATATGCAACGTTTTGTTGTATGATTTGTTGCCATTTAAAAGTGCCATAGAAGTCCTCTCATAGAAGTCCTGCTCTCTATTTGCAAACAACTCTAGTAGTCGATTTTTACAATCCTGCCTAGATACCATTTTTTTTTTTTCATTAAAGAAAATATGCAATGCAAGAAAAATCTGACAAGCAAAGTCCGGACTGTATGGTGGTTAATGTATCCACCATACAGTCCGGACTTTGCTATAAGCGATTGTCAGATTTTTCTTGCATTGCATATTTTCTTCAATGAAAAAAATTGGTATCTAGGCAGGATTCCCTTCCCAACTAAGCTCCCAAAGTTTCTGGCGAGTCACTGTAGATGTGTGTGGTCTAGCGTTGTGCTGGTGGAACACGACACCTCTTCTGTTGGCCGTTTCTGGTCATTTGCTATCTTCCATATATATATGTTGAAGATTTAGAGAAAAATAATTTACAAAAAATTTAGCGTTTGTTTTTTGGAAACAACTTAAAGAGAATCCCTTTCCAGTCCCACCAAATGCATAGCAGAACCCTCCTGGCCGTTAGTCCTGGTTTGGCCACCGTTTGAGTTGCTTAACCGCTCTTTGACCACGATCGTTTTCGCACAGGGTTATCGTATGTGATCAATTTCTCATCTCCAGTCACCATCCTTTTACGAAATTGGTCTATCTAATTCCGTTTGGCCAAGGCTTCGCATGTGGAAATTCGATAAATCTTATTTTTTCCGTTTACGAAATTGGTCTATCTCATTCCGTTTGCTAGTTCATACGATAGCAGTACACTCACAGAGAAACGAGTAAAAATCGAATCGATTGGGTTATTAGTTTTTGAGTTATCGTACCCACCATTCGCAAATGAGAAAAACGCATTTAAAGTTTGAGAAGCCCTTTAGCTGTCACTTGATGCAGACACAACAAATCGGCTATATCTTCAAAAGTTCTTGAGATTTTAACTTGAAATTTTGTAGGGACATTCTTGAATTAGTGTAGATTTGAATTAAATCAAAAAAAAATTTGACCTCGAGAATGGGGTGGTCCCCTTAAATGGTGTGACACCCAAACATCGAGCTTCTTTTTGAATCCAGCTTTGTGTAAATAGTTTTAAACAGTATTATGGTCTATTTTTAGCTCTTGGGCGATGTTACGACGGCTAACATGTAGACTGGCATGTTGATAATTTCTCGACATTTTCGACGACCGGCCTATGGATTTCTTTTTCCCCACACCTAATGTTTATACTGACCATAGGTAATGTGTACCTCGTACCTTCTTCAACAACCGTCACAATTTTGTCAAATTATAAATTTAATAAAAAACCAGTGGGCGGAGCTCTAAGTTTTTGCGGATGTATTTTCCGAGCATCGGCAATATTTTGCGATATTTGCACTTTCTTGACCTATTAGCTCCATTGCGGCCTTGTTTTTCTGTACAAAATAATTACTAAATATGTTTCAAATTTTCCATCCACGAAGTATCTTGTGTGTAATATCCACATCTGACTAAATATATCAAGATAATTGGTATCAATTTTAAGGTCAGTCTCCTCTTGAATATATTATAGACTTCTCGGGTCTTCCACCTTCAAGAGTAAATATTTACGCACCAGAATACATATTTGATAATTGTTTCACACTAATGTCGGGACATAAATAACGGACATAAATAAAGGTTTTGGCCCACTTCATCCCCTACAAATTAACCGATCATTACCTACAACAATAGGGGTCTTCTTTGGACAGAACCCATATTACATGCAAAAATTCTTGACTATTGTTTCATAACTGGGGCCTGTATCGTGTTTACAAAATATAATCGTCAGTCGGCCACACATAACTAGATCGACTCAGCTAGTCGGTATATGATATATGATTTATATACTTAGAGGTGGGTCTAGGACTAATATTCCGCGGTGTTATAAACTCTTGGTGCAACACAAGGCTATAAAACTCTGAAAACATACTTGTTTAGGGTATAAGTATACACCTCGACAGTGATTCCTTTGACCCCCGTAAAACTTTCAAAATATTGAAAAAAGCGGGATATCAATTGGGGGATACGTCACATCATAAATTTAAAATGACAAAAATTCCGCTCTTTGTATTGGGAAATGTGTACAAAACACTAAAAATACAGAAAATGAACCGGGTTTTTTATATTAGGGGCTATGTCAAACCATGGACTTATAATGACGAATTTCTGAATCATAAAGGAAGGACGCTGACATAATTTCCAATTCAAATAATAATTATTATTATATCTATATTCCAAAAAATATTTTTTTCTTTTTTCATAGATTGAATTTTACAAACTGGTATTAATTATTATATTATTATAATTATTTTCTTAAATGTCCCCAAAAACCCCTTAATATTCGAAAAGTTTTTCATCGGATTTGTTCTGCAGAAAAATATAATTTTCTGGAGAAAAACAATTAAAAATTATAATTATTTTACCCAATGCACAAATTAAAATTCTTATTACAAATTTTGCAATAATGAGATATTCCAAATCCACAAACACAATATTTCTAAAGCCGTCCAACATTCCAGAACTTAAACAGTGCATTAAATCCCATAACCCTATTTCTGTACCTTATTACTTGTTTGTTTGTCCCACCACACCATTACACATTATCATTTTCTTGATAATTGCTATTGCCATTATGAACACCATGTAGACCACATTTTCCCTAACAAAAATGCAATGATTTTAGTAAGCACTCCTGGAGTGAAAAACATATACTACAACAACAAAACCTAGAAAAACTTTTACCACAAAAGTAACAGAGGACAACAATACCTTCTCGCCACTTTGTTAGTTTAATGTTCTCTGCGTTATTGTGTCAAAACTTTTGTCAGTGAACGATGGACAAGGAGTTTCAGTTTTGCAGGTAAATTTTGTAGTTTAAACTCCTCTTCGTCTTTTACTCTTATCTGACATTTTGGGGGCTCTTTTGGGGTCAGTTATAAGTTTATGAATTTGTTTTTTTTTTCTGGTTTGACTTTAGTTCTAGATTTTCCTAGCAGCAGCTTCCTAACAATAGCTCCTCGTAGTTTTTTTCTTCTGATAAATCATAGTTACTCATATTTTTGTTGTTCAAAGAACTTTTCTAATACACTTAAACAAAACAGTTGGTATAACAAAGGATTGCATGATTGTGATGTTGTATTTGCAAATCGGATAATAGCATTAAAAAAGTAGTGCATTTTAAAAATTGTTCTACATTCAAAATTAATAATAACAACAACAGATAGTTTGATAATAATATGCATATTAGATGCTATTATACCCTCCACCATAGTATGGAGGGTATATTAATTTTGTCATTCCGTTTGTAACACATCGAAATATTCATTTCCGACCCTATAAAGTATATATATTCTTGATCAGGGTAAAATTCTAAGACGATCTAGCCATGTCCGTCCGTCCGTCTGTCCGTCCGTCTGTTGTAATCACGCTATCTTCTGAAGGAATTGAGATAGGGTGCTGAAATTTTGCATAGGGTTGTCTTTTGTCTGCAGGCAGGTCAAGTTCGAAGATGGGATATATCGGTCCACGCGTAGGCATAGCTCCCATATAACAGTACCTCCCAAATTTCGG